ATGTTCTCATCCTGCCGGGCTTCCTCTAGGTCAGGCTGGCGGGCACAAAGTTGTAAAACTCGGCGTAAGAATCGACATCATGCAATGTCCGAAGCGAAAATTTACACTTTGCCAACATTTCGTTCAGTTCTTTCGACAGTTGTTCCGACTGCGATACGATAAGCCAAACTGAGATACCAAAGTGTCCTGCATTAAAACCGGTCTCAACTAGAAGCCTGTCTTGAATACAAGCCTGATTTTCAAGATGCACTGCCGGCACATAACCCTGGTTTTAGTGTTTGACATATGCAGAAATACCTGGTTTGAAAAGAAGCTCGACTTGAATAAAAGCCTAGCATTGACATCGGCTCCTACAGGAACAAGTCCGGCTTTAATACGCAACATTACGGTGGAAGGGAACGAAACAAACTGATATCATATACTCACAGAAACAGTCATACGTTCTCGACAGTGTCTCATCTCGCAGGCAAATGCCCGACAAGCAGCCTTGCAGGCATTTGTCCAGAGCAGGATTGGCTGGGTTGACTGCATTGGCTGAACTACCTGTGATGCAGACTGTACACACACACATACACACACACACACACACACACACACACACACACACACACACACACACACATCACACATCACGCATCACACGAAGGCTGGGAGTTAGTCAATAGCTAGATGGCACATGCGACAATCAGCCGACTCTCTGCTGACCCGGCGGGAGTTTTCCAGGTGTCAGAGCACTTCCAACCGAACACCTTAGCTATTGTGTGGAAGAGCCTACACGGTGACACATCGCAGTCCATCACCCAACTATAATTTATTCCCGTAGCTATGCAGAAGACGTTACTTCAGTAACGTCTGGCGCTAGCCAGGGTCCACACAGCTTTAATTTGGTGTTTGTTTGTTTGTTTGTGTCACGCCTGGCTCCCGTATCTGTGCCGTACCGTACTGTACCATCAAACACAGCTGGCCACATACAGCTGGCCGCAATATTCAAATAGGGCTTTCAAACGCTAGATCATAACGTGAAGCAACTTGGAAGAATGGGTATGAATGCGAAGTGTATGGGGGAATGCATGTAGGGCGATAGTGCGGGTTCAAATCCCAGGATATGCCTGAAAAAATAGGAGAATTGAAAAATTTATAACATCCCTATGCTTTTTTTGTCGTCATCAAGGCGGTAGACGGTGTCGTATTACCCTCGATCGTACCTGTCCCGTACCTATCCCGTACCATACCATCAAAGACGGCTGGCCACAATGCATATTCAAATAGGGCTTTCAAATGCAAGATCATAACGTGAAGCAACTTGGAAGAATTAGTATTTATGCGAAGTGTATCGGGGGATGCATGCAGGGCGCACGATAGTGCGGGTTCGAATCCCAGGTTATGTCTTTAAAAAAGGAATTTTTTAAAGAATTTATAACATCCCTATGCTTTTTTTGGTCTAGGTCATCACGACAAAAAAGCATAGCGTAGGGCCCTGAGCTTCCAAGCTCTCTCGTTACCGACTCCGCAAATGCCCAGAGAAACTCGACCCCAGCAGCAGGACGGACTCAGTCTTCCAGTCGCAAGAACCAACGCTGGCAAGTCGAGGCATGCCTGCAGCACCACAGAGTGCTGAGGTGTTCAGATTCTGGTCTGCTTTTGTTTTTCACAACTCAATGATCGCTTTCCAAGCTTCTGCCCACTGCATTCCTTGCTCAATACCTGCAACAGTAGCTGATGGCATGCTTGACACTGGATCCATACTATTGATCACCGGCTGACTGTTGTTCTGTAATAGTACGGTATTTCGTGTACGTGGTCTTGGTGCATGCGTGTGTTGCTGTGGTGTGAAAAGTAGTCTTCGTCTTGAGTTCGTCCTGTCTAGTTGTGTTTCCGTAGTCGTCTTGTAATACATATAGTCTTTCTAAATGTAGTTATCGTCGTCCCATTGTATAAGTATGGAGATGGCACGGGGCTGGGAGCAAGTGAAGAAAGGCATCTACAGCAGTTCCTCAAGGGTCTGTTCTCGGACCTCTGCTCTTCATTTTTGTATGTGCAGGATACTGCCGGCGAGCTTGCTCCTCATGACGTCACCACTATTCAGTTTGCTGATGACATCTCGCCGAGGGCAAGCAGTGCACCACAGCCAGAAGCTATCTCCCAGCGCCTCACTGCCGCAGCTCAGAACACGGCCACTTGGTTGAAGAAACGTGGACTGATCCTTAACGAGACAAAGACGCAGACACTTGTCGTGCCACACCACAGATTGCGGACTTCGACATGCATGCTGCACCCTACTTCAGCACTTGTTAGCTGTCATGCTATCAACCCACACTCGTGGAGGCCAAAGCAACTTGCCTACTAGCTACTGCCCCACCTGCTAGCACCGCTCGTTCTGCTAAGCGCCTAACGCACGCTGGAGCCATCATCGTAATCTCGCGCATTTAAGGACATGTTCTTTTTTCCAAAATAAGAGCACTCTCGCCTATAAGAACATGCACTTATAAGTGAATGAAAATCACAAAACCACACGAGGTTCACCATGGTTCCATTGTACTGGCATTAACCAATATTATGCGTACTTGCACATGTACATGTCGATGCGATGTTGGTCTCTCACATTACATGTATAAGAACATGGGCTTATAATCGAACGAAAATGCACTTGTGAAAGGACAGAAAACAGCGTCTTTTCGATTATAAGACCATGGTCTTACGTGTATATGCGCGAGATTACGATAATATGTACATTACCGTCAGAAGCAAAGTGTCCCAATGGGTATATGGATTTCAAATCACACACTCTATATCGCGCTACAAACAATTAGAGGACAGAGACATGGCCAGCAATCGAGGACATCTGAGAGTTGTAATTTTTGTACTCCTCTGAGGTGTGATTTTTGGCGTGCTGGGCCAAGCACAAGGAAGCCATCTGCAAAACAACTGCAGAAAATGGTTGTTGTTTGATCCTTTGGTGAAATCTTTGTTTCTAGTCGAAGCTAGTTGCTGTTTGGAGCAGAAACGCTGAAATTGACTATTTTCTGCATGTACTCATGCATGTACTCATGTACTCAGGCATGCAGTCTCACTCGTATTTTAGCTCTTTTTCATGAATGGAGGCTGCTCTGCGCCCCTTGGTGAACATTTCCTGCGCTCGTGGAGCAGCTGAAAAGGACCACTGGTATGTCTGGTTCCTGGTTTGAAAGTGGAGAGTCTTTTGTGCCTTAAAAAAGGAGTAGAGAGCGATAAAGGTACGTCTGTGGCGTATTTTTGAGTGCTCCTCGTACATTTTTGATCGTGATAGAAATTCTCAGACCAAAATCAGCGCGATGATGGCCGTACAGTTTTCTTGTGGATTTTTTAGTTGTTTCATCTCGTATCTATGTCAGTATCGTGATGGTGAAGTGGAGAGGGTGATTTTCTTCCTGTAGGCTTCGTTCTGCCGACTTTGCTTCGTCCTCGTTGAAAAGTGATCCTGAAAAAAAGGTCGATTCGCAAAATTATGTTGATTTTCAATGTGCGTGATGACATGCGATTGCTGGCTATGAAGTGTTTTTACTCCGAGTTTCACGCACTAAGCGATCATCAGAAAACAGTAATGAGAAATCTGGATCAGTATTGGTTTATACACTCACAAAGCAAAGTGTAAATAGCTGCAGCATGGCGCAAATCTAAAAGTTGTGAATGGCGGCAGTGCAAAGCGTGAATGACTGCATCATCAGGCAAATCCAAAAGTAAAAGTGTGAATGACAGCAGTGGTGAAAGGTGACAACCACTGGAGACGGTTGTCTCTTACTTAATTAGGTGATGGCTGTGGATGGTTTAAAGTTCCGAAGGTAGTACCTATTCTCATGGCGACACTTTGACACAAGCTCACTCCTTTTGTTGAGAGAGAGGTGCTTGCGCGATTGCCAATTTTTCTGCCAGGCACAGGTTGCACCTTTTGCTTTTGTTGCTGTAGGCCGCTGCTCTGCGGTGTACCGCCCATTGAATACTGCATGCCTTCCCTTCATCCTTCATGATTCCTTCCCATCATCATTCCCATCATGATTTGCGTCATGCTGCAGCTATTTACACTTTGCTTTGTGAGTATATAAACCAATACTGATCCAGATTTCTCATTACTGTTTTCTGATGATCGCTTAGTGCGTGAAACTCGGAGTAAAAACACTTTCTCTGTCCTCTAATTGTTTGAACCAGCTCTACCACTCGGTATTGAGCACTCTCTTGGACAGCCTGGAACCTCTGTTTTATCGCGCTACATATCACATAGCAGGGGCGTCGGAAGGTATTTTAGTGTGGTACGGTCAGCCATCTGAAGTACAGTTTCCTCGTGGGGGAGGGGTGGCTGAGTCCAGATCAGTGTATTTTATTGATTCATGGGGTACCTGGGGCAAAAAGTGGTACGGTCAATACCGTAGTGACCGTACCGTGTCCTACGTCCCTGCATAGTAATTGTTATGCTGGGCTTGCCACATTCAAGGTACATGTATATAGCAGTACTCATAGGCCAGGGTCCGTATCAATTTTCGTCTGATGATCGATTAAGTTCGTGAAACTTAGAGTTCCGAAACCGCAACTGCTCGTTCTTCTGTCTGCGGATTTCAAATCTCAAGTCTTGCAGTGCACATTGACTCCCTTCACTCATCTATCAGGTCATTTTCCTTTTCGTAATAATCTGCAGACTCGACAATTTCCTGTTCTTTTCTAAATAATGCGGCTTATTCATTCGGCTTTATATCACCGGTCCTAGTTCCCATCTATTGTGCGAATTAAAACAAACCAACCGACCAACCCACATTATCAGCTACGTAGGGTTTCCATGGCTCACTGAATTGATATCTGTTTGATAAGAACTACCCTTCACTTTACTTAGAAGGAGAGGACTCAGGGTTTGCAAGCTTTCCATTTCTGTCCAACGCTTACAATCCGAAGGATGCGGTCAACCCTGCTCACGGAGTGGTGTTGATCGGATCCGGATTCGCTGAAACGAACGTGCACATTTCAAGTGGATCCGATTGATCTGGATCCAGATCCAACCAATCGAACATGCCCTTATACTCAAGTGCAGCTTATTCAGTGAAACCTGTTTAAGGCGATCACTCAGGGCACGAGAAAAAGTGGTCACCCTGGCCAGGTGGTCTTCTTATCCAGGTTCAGTGGGTCTCGTCACCATAGTCACTTGTGAGATACATGTAATTGTATCATTTTGAACGGTGTCTCACACTGCACACACCTACTGGTATGCCGCTAATCTAAAGCATGACTCGTGTGCCTGGGGGCTTCAGACCTGTCAAGTGTCGTGCATGCACAAATAATGTACATATCTCTACACGTCCTGCCCTGATGTGTAGGTCCACCATGCATGGTGCACAGTGCAATGCGTACACTGCACATGCAATAGTAGGGTGCAACGCGGTCGCGGGGAGCTGTTTTGAATGTGAATGCGTCCGTGACAAGGAAAAGTGGTCGCCATGGTTGAGTGGCTGCCATACCCGAGTGATCGCCATACCCGAGTGGTCGCCATGGTCGAGTGGTCGCCATACCCGAGTGGTCGCCATGGTCGAGTGGTCGCCATTACAGGTATTACTGTGCTCTCGAAAACAAGGTAGTTTCGATCCCAGACTTGACAAGCTCACAGAGATGCTGATACTTCGAAGTACATGTACTTCAAAGAAGTAATTTCACATTTTGAAACTTTCTCTCTTCAGCCAAAGTTTGTACTTACTTGTCACGGTCGACAGCAGCACGCCAGCAATGGCGAGCATAGTTGTTGAAGTCATTTTGCAGTCCTTTCATGCACAGACGCATGCACACGTACACACATACACACACACACACACATCCACACAATGTGTCATAACGTTACACACACACACACACACACACACACACACATACAGTTCGATGATAATGTTACACACATGTGCACACGCACATACATGTACATACATACACACACACAGAACTGAAGCACACATGCACGCAGGCATGCATGCGCATGCACGCAGGCATGCATGCACATGCACGCAGGCACACACATACATACAATCATACAACTTGGAACTCTACAGAGATTATCAACGGACGAGTCTGCGGAAGGAGGACTGATATCGGATGGGTAGACTGAACACAGATCATTTGGACGAGCGCTTTGACAGTGTCAAGGAACCTACAATATTCCGGCTTTCTTTAGCTTTTCACATTGAACTCAACCCTACCAAGGAAGAATTATTATTTGACCGGAAGCAGGAAGGAGCATTGGTAGCGGCCACCGTGAGCCATGGAGGCTGTGCGAGTGGGGTGCACCCAACTCAGGCGACAGACCGGCTCGGCTTCATTGCCAAGCCCGCGCACCGAGGTTGAAAAAGAGAAAGGGGGAAAGGAGTGAACAGCGGAGAGAAATGAAAAGAAAAGAGGAAAGGAAACTCCGAACAATTCACCGAAACGGAGACCCAGTAGCCAATAAGAAGTGCATTCAGATACTGCACCGCCGTGTCACCGAGCACCCAGTTATGCCAGGCGCTCGAAACCAATGAAAAGAATAGGCGTACAAACTAGAAAGCGAACAGTGTCTCTACAAACACTCATCACTCACCGTCCGGTTTCAGGTAGCAGGTTGTTGGCCGGCCGAGCTAGTAGACAACCGCCCAACGATAGGCGAGAGGAGAAAAAATAATGACAAGGAGAGGTTCTCTGCGCAGGATTTTAGGATGTTTCATGGGTTAGTTGGCGATGGCTGGAAGCCTAGTGGTAGGTCTACCACAACTACTTGACACGTAGACTCTACCTAACCGTTCATGCCCTTCGACCTTTGGCAATGGTGGATGATCACCTGCTGAACTGTACTTGGATGTGCACCAGCACCGGCTACATGTGCGGCTTTTTTCGTAGTCAACGGCAGGAGTGGCAGCGGAGGAACTTCGCACGGCGGGCGGGCATGCATTGTAGCAAGAGTCCATAACCCCCCAGAGTGTGCAACTCGTGATCCTTCTCAGCACAAATCAGTGCCGCAACGAAATCCAAACTTCATACGTCATGTAGTGAGTAGCTATGACGAAATGGGAAGTTTGGCCCGGACCTACTTCGCCCGTTTGCCCAATTTGGGGTCTTTCTTTACGAATCCACGGCCAGGTATTGTACGTAACACGCCTGGAAAGGCTCAAGTACACAAAGAATTATTTTAGAGTTGTCGAACAGTTTTCTCTTTTGAGTGTCTCTCCGATAAGAGAAGAACAATGGCCACTGTTGAACCTAAAGCAAAGCGCTCCCCATTGTCGCCGGAGTGCAGTGTCTCTGTGGACGATATTCGTCAGTTTTTGCTCGATCTGGGCTCCTCATTTTCTTCTCTCGATTGTCGAGTGTTGGAAATTGTTAATTCTTCCAGCACCTAGATAGAGATTTATTGAAAATCGAAATCGATCGGGTCTTCATGCCGTGTGCCAAGAGCTATTTCCATCAAATCTTGTAAATCTATATCCATGCCTATTCTTGCTATCCCGGAGTCACGAACTCTCCCAATACAAGCTTTTCAGACAACGAGCAGAGAAACTCTCTTCAAATGAAAAAATTCTGTGACTGTGAAATCAAAGCCGTTCTGCTGACACTGCATAGCCCGTGGAGCAAACGTTTTACGTGACACTTCCGTGGCTTGCTTCAAAGCAACCTTCAACTTGGAACCCCCGCCGGATGTACCAGATATGCACATGGCCCCATCCGCCCATGCTTCCCGGGGACCGGATGACGCAATGTTTGGATTTCGTTGCGCCAGACCCCAACCTGTAGTTGCACACTCTGGGGGGTTATGGACTCTTGTCTTGATTGTAGTGAATGCCCAAGGCCAACGAGCCTCTACTTGTACAGTGCTGGCAACAGAAATCCGACCCCGTTGCCGGCCCGGCGCGCCGGCAAGGGGGTCGGATTTCAGTTGCCAGCACTGTAGCTCTGGGACTGTGGAGTCGTCTGTTCTTCCGTTTGGTCTCACCTCGTCGGCACGTCAGTACTGAACTATCAGCATGGGACCAGTAAGTATTAGTTCAACCTTTCATGCATGTGTATTGTGTTATGGGGCAAAGCCATTCAGTCGATCCATAGTGCGAACTTCTCCTTCACGCACTTGTCTGGATTCTAGCGCCATCTGTATGCATGTCCCAGCAGGACTGTGCGTTTCGTTATCACCTTTAGAACTTTTGTCACTTTCCGCTTCAAGAAGGGTATAAGCAGCAGGAACTTTCCAAAGTTTGGCGTTTTCAAACTGTAAAGGGGTTAGTGCAGGCTTTGCAGTATGTGCGGACACTTGAAGCGAGTCGCGCAGATGTGAATGGCCGTCCACCCGTGCGAGGGACCTGCGTTTCGCAAGACAAAGCCTTTAATACTATTAATTTTTTTATTTGCGTTCAAGGTCAGTTAGGTTAAAGGGGCACTCCAGCTTCATTTTCGACGCCGAGTTTTCGATGCCAAGACGAAGGTAGGTAGGCCCCGGCGGATAATGCTAGCATTATATCTAGCATATTTAGCACTTTCTGGAAACTAGCATTGCACTAGCATAATCAGCAGATTTTTGCAGAAAACTAGCATATTCTTGCGAAAACTAGCATATTCTTGCAAAACTAATTATAGAACTGTGTCAGTCGCATCCGACAACACTGGTTCACTTCAAATCTTCAATGTCTGGCCCTCTAGGCTCTACTACTTGTACTCAAGTTGTAGTAGATCTATGACTCTGGCTGGGAGTTTAGGCACAAGCGTTGGGAAAAAAAACTTGTGATGGGTGTACATGAGAAGGCGGTGAGAATGGGAGCGTTTTGTTTCCACCAACTTTTGCTTATTATTCTTTGTTAGCTGATGAAGAACACACGTAATGGCTATGTCCGAGCAAGCAGCCAGAGATATTGTTGATCTAGTAAGCAGTAGCGATGATCACTTTGATTCCGAGTTTGACGATGAAGACGCCTCAGAATCAGAGTCCGAAGAGGACGAGGTCAGGACAGCGTGTGAACGTCTTCCCGAACCAGCCAGAGCAGCGATTTCCCGAAAACGATCTTTCCAGAGAAGTGGGAAGGAGTCCGTCGCTAAACGTGGGCGAATTGCCGGTGGAAGTTCCACATTGACACCTCGTGTCAGCGTCCACCATCGCGTGCAGGGGAAAATATTTGACCGTGTCCAGTGGGAAGATTTACTGCAGTGCTTGCAGCCAGACAGTTCGACAGAAGAACAGCATTGTGAAATCACACATTTCGAGCCAAACGCACAAGACGGCCAAAGAGCGAAAGTCACGAGGCCAGCGACACCAGCAAGCGCTAACAGCTTCGTGGGAGAAGTACACTACAGACCAGGGACTACTCCCTGCTACAGACCATAAGAAGGAGCTGGCAGGAACAGGGCAACCTGGTGCTGTAGCCAATGATGTCCTCATTCGAAGAGCCAATGTTGTAGAGTCTTTCCTCAAAGCTGCAGGTGTGAAGTAAGCAGCTAGTACTAGTAACTGAATACATGTACATGCGGTACTCTGTGTGTTGCTATGTGTATCTACTTCGAAGTAGTTTCAACACTCGAGTGCAGGTTGGAAAACCAAAACATTTTAATCAGCCTGCCGTATTATTCCATCATGGCTGGCACAATGTTTCTGAATTCGTGTTCCATAGTACTCCGCCAAACTCAACCACTAAATAGCACAGTTGAAGTTAGTTTGAATATTCAAATTATGACACCAAAGACAGAAGTGTGCCTCAATTGTACATGCTGCAGCTTGCACCCTGTCAAGATGTCCACTGTACATGTATCAGAATACCCATAACTGAGACGTGTTAATGCACTCCCAGCGGCCGTACATGTTATTGTATCAAAAGTGGCTTGCTATGTTGTTGCCATGTGGTGATCATGAAGTATTATGTATTCTACCTGCACTATGCTAGCCTATAACGTTAGTGTTGCATGGAGAACAATGTGTACCAGGTAAACAGCGAACCAAGTTTTTAAATTAATATTATAACTTACGGGATGTAGCAAGCCACTTTTGATACTATAACAACAAAAAAGATCCCATTTTTTGCCACAATATGCTAGTTTTCGCAAGAATATGCTAGTTTTCTGCAAAACCTGCTGATTATGCTAGTGCAATGCTAGTTTCCAGAAAGGGCTACAATATGCTAGATATAATGCTAGCATTATCCGCCGGGGCCTACCACACACACACCGAACCCGCAACCTCTCGATTGGAAATCGACTGCACATACCACTGCACCATATGGGATACACACACGCACACAATGTTACACATGCACCTTTGCCCATTCGTGTTCACAGTCAGATGTTACACATGCACCTTTGCCCATTCGTTTTCACAGTCAGATGAACTGACAGCAGTCTGTTATTAGAAATTCGAGCTTTGGCAGATAATGGGCTGTGGCTATTTGAGAATACCAATCAGAAACTAGAATGACAAATGGCCATCTCAGAGGGGAGAGAACGACTGTCAGGAATTCACAGTAACCCATGCGCTGTGAGGTATACAAACTGTCACTAGTGTTCAATGAGGATATAACTTATAAGTGACCGGATAGAACTCTGCTCAAGTGGAGTTAGACAATGCAGCAATACAACATACAAGATAATAAGAATGGTGAACTGTGCGAATACGAAGCTGAAGAAAGACACAGAAAAGGGAGATTTGATTGGAGCAGCGAGTTTTTGAAATAGCTATCGGTCACTAGCAGCCTCAGTGAGAAGGGTCACAAGAGCTTACATGTAAAGTTGGTGTGTGAGAGAGAGAGAGACAGACAGACAGACAGACAGACAAACAGAGACAGAAAGATAGAGAGAGAGAGAAAGAGAGAAGTAATCTGCCAATGCCGGAGTTTTCCTGATTTTCATTCTTGATAAGCCACCCATTATTCATGCTTTCATATGAGCATTGTTGCTGCCAAGCGTTATGCGTCGCCCCGGTTCAAGTTACAACAGCTTGAACTTATCATCCCTAACCACCGGTCCTACAGATCAAACAAAGGAGAACCAGAAAACTCGCATTAGAGTAAAGCTGGTGTGCGCGTGTGTTTGTGTGCGTGTGTGTGTGCGTGTGTATGTGTATGTGCATCTGTGCATCTGTGTGTGTGTGTGTGTGTGTGTGTGTGTGTGTGTACTTGCGTGCGTGCGTGCGTATGTGCATGCATGTGTACATTACTGTGAAGCAGAAATGTGGTTCTTGACTCACCCAGCTACGAGAATCGGTAATCACCTTATGACTTCTATTGGTTTGGAGAGACTACTATTAAAGGTAGGTATCCATTTACCTCTGGAGAGTCCATCAATAGATGCAGGCGCGTGCGCCGTATGGGTTCCTGGGTGCCCGGAACCCCCGTTTTTTCGCTCAAAATGCAGGATTTTGCTTCATTTTTTGAAAATTTTCCAGGGGGAGGCCCCCTGGACCCCCCCCCCCCTTGAAGGGCACCAGCGCACATGCCTGAGATACAATCATCTTATTCTTGTTGCAACTACAGTAAAATCTGTCAAGGTGACCACTCTGATACGATGACCACCTGTCCTAGAAGACCACTGCAACCAGGACCAAGGGATGCTATTTCCAGTCAAATGACCCTGGATCAGGAGACCACATTTTGAAGGTCCTTTGAGCGGTCGTCTTAGACAGGCTTCACTGCAGCTCTGCCTTTCGGCATTGAGCACTCTATTGGACAGCCTGGAACCTCTCTGTTTTACAATAAAAAACAAAAATGCTTGAAACATATATATCCATGGCGATTGCAATACTCACGCTCGCAGACGACGTAGTGGCGCTCGTCGGGTGACGCGCGTCTGCTCAGCAGCTCCCCGCTCTGATCGTACAGTTCGCACTGCTGTCCCCCGGCGGCGGCAGCCCCGGCCTGCGTTGTGTTGCAGCCACTCTTCCACACCAGTCCCTGGCCCGGCAGCACGGCGGGCGTGCGCTGAAAGAAATCCGCCAGCTCGCCGGTCAGGCCCCCCTGGAAGACCTGTCCACCGTGCCATTTGTACGGATAAAAGTCACCGGTGTAATTGTTCTCCATGACCTGAGAGCCCTTGCAGAGCTGTTCTGCTTGCGCATACGTGCGTGGTTCATGGCCGGAGAGCGGAATGTAGTACTCGACTTCCCGTGTGCACGAAATGAAGGATGGTGCCTGCGGCTGTTTCACTGCAGCGGCGGAGTAGAGCATATACGTGTACACACATACACACACACACACACACACACACACACACACACACACACACACACACACACACACAGGCATACACACAGGCGTACACAAATACGCACACACGTGCGTGCATGACACGCACATGCACATGTGCACACGGACACACATACACACACATACACACACACACACGCACACAAAACACATCCTTCACCTTTGACACCCACCATCAAAAGCCAGTATAGTGATGCAGTGCATACTACTGGGGAAGTTCATGTACTCACACTATCGGGCAGCAGGAAAAATATCGGCAGTTCAAGCCTGCAAAGTCTGATGCTATACGGTAAAACCTGACAAGGCGACCACTCGGATAAGGCGACCACCTGCCCTAGAAGACCACTGCAACCAGGACCAAGAGATGCTATTTCCAGTCAAACGACCCTGGATAAGGAGACCACCTGGTAACTGAGACCATTGCGGGAGGTCCCTTGAGTGGTCGTCTTAGACAGTTTTCACCATAATCAAATGTTCCAGCAAGCCATTTCCATGAAACTTGTACTATATGGACGGCGTTTTAATCAGGGAGTCGTAAAATACCGGTATTTTACGACTCGCTGGTTTTAATAGTTCTACGAACGTGAAGATGGTCTGGCTCTCACTCTCCGTGAGTCTTTTCATTCGAAAGCTTTCCAGCTGTGCCGGATAGTGAACACTGTTGAAGACAGTAGTCTTCGCGTTGTTACTGCGGATGATGAAAAGTCACCGAGTCTCGCGAAACCTGTTCAAGTTTTTAAAAGTCTTTTTCAAACTTGGAAAAAGGCTTTTGAGCCGACAAGCTCGTTCCTATCACTCCCCGAAACACTGAACACCGCTTTCATATCGATTTCAGCAACATTTCGGCATTTCAGCAGCATTTCGGCATTTCAGCAGCATTTGACCGGATGATGGCGAAATGCCAAAGCGTTACTGACATCGATATGAAAACATTGGGCAGCGTTATACAGAGTTTGCTTACTTTATTTGAATTCGCAAATCCAAACGAGCACAAATGCTCAGTGACAAGGCAGAGCGACGGGAACGCGCTTGCCAGCTCAAATGCCTTTCTTCTAAATATAGAAACAGCAAGAAGCCAAAACCCATACTTATATATTTAGACTTCTACGGCATAACATTTTTCGACGCGATAATTATATTTTCCTCGCCGGCCAGCTGAACTTTTATAAGCCGTTATCGCCTCAGCCCCAGTCTCTCCGGTATGAATCGCTAGTGATTGGAAGTCTTGGTCTTCCTGCCTAATCCGCAGTGATGTCTCAAACACGAAACTCTGAGTGACGGCAATGAAGAACTCTTGGTTGCACCCTTGCGGTGTGAGAACACTGCAAGGTGAGAAACTTTCGCTAGAGATTATAAATTTCGCTATTTTCGTGACCATCATGCAGTCACTAGCGGATATAAATCGCCGCGAACTGCTCTATACATTGATTGTAGACAGCACAAGATCCAACTGAATAGATGAAATCGTGAAAGTTTCTCATCGGGGGAACAGTGCAATTCTTGAAAACACAAAAGTTGCGCCCCGTAAAAATTTATCGATTTTATACAGTAGTATTTCTGGCTCTGTCCACTGGACATAAAGCGTTAACCACTGTCAATGCTATACGCTGTCTGAGGATGTTAGACACCAGCACAGACAAACACACGTACACATATGTACACACAAACACACAGACACACACAGGCACACACACACACACAGGCACACACACACACAGGCACACACACACACGCACACACACACACACAGGCACACACACACACAGGCACACACACACACACACACACACACACATACAGGCACACACACACATACACACACAGGCACACACACACACACGCACACACACACACACGCACTTACCCGTGTACATAACCGGCAGCTGTGCGCCGCAGCCTCCATTGCGTATAGCGGACGACCAATAGACGTACAGGGAATTCTCTAGAAACTGATAGACCCTGAATGCATTAACAAACATTTTTCCTATTCTAGGTCCAGGGCCAGGACCAGGCTCTGTGTGAGCACAATTCCCAATGACATTCAGGACGTCGGTAGTTGAAACATAACGCTTGATGGCCCGAAGTCGAGTTAAAATTATACCAAACAGTTGCCTGTAGTATTCAGGCCGTGGTAAACTGGGGGATGGTTTGAGTTCAGTGTACTTGGTCTGGTACATTGAGTATCCATGGGTGTTACCGCCAACGGCTGTGGTGAATGTCTTGGTGGCGTTCGCAGACATTTTCGTGGAGGAAATTGCGAAATATTCGCTGCTACGGTAGCTCTTGCCGTCGCTGACGTTGCGGACGGACTTGTACTGAATGACATCTGGAGAACAACGCAGAGGGACAAACCCGCGGGTGAGTGTATATGGTGCATATTGCCATGCATAGGCGTGCAGGCATGCACACCTTGACCTTTGACGCCCATCGCCGGAGGCGATGATAGCAATGCTACGGCAGAAGCCATAGCAACTTGTGCTGGGATTGCACCATTCAACAGCTTGCAAGGCTGAAGAATTGACCGTCACTATTCAGCCTGGTCTACACCATACAGCTATGCACACACACACACACACACATACACACACACACATGGTGCATACACAACAACATACATACATACACACACACACACAAACACACACACACACATACATGGGAAGAGTACTGAATTTTATCTACAATTGAAAGCGAGAGACGCGCGAAAGTTAAGGTGACAGTTTTTGGGTGACTGGGCTGCAGTGTAAATTGTGCTGCTTTTAAAGATAACCACGCATTTCCACAACACTACAGGCGCATACGCCGTTGCAGGTGGTCCGGTATGAGAGGGTCCGGGGGGTTTCCACTGTGAAAAATTTGAAAATAGGGTGGAGAATCCTGCATACTGGGCACTTTCGGCATTGTGTTTAATAAAAAAAAGAAAGTGGTCCTGCGAAAGCCGGACCGGCTGCTACGCCTAGGGTTCAGCGGATAATGCTCCGAAAATGTTCATATAATGCTAACCATAATGCTCCAAAAACTGCCGTATAATGCAGATTATAATGCTTCAGCAAGGGATATAATGCTCTTGGTTTAGGACAAAAATGGAAGAAAGTCTGCACATTGTCAAACTTCCAGGAAATTATGCATATCGTCGATCTGCATCTGAAATTGCCACCTTATCTCTCACGAGCTCCACCACTTCTTAGCACCATAAGACATGATCACTTCTCCATTGATTGCTCTCCATTCCAACTTTGATGCAGAGTTGTGGCAGAATAGTCGGCGTATCAAATCCCTCCCCTAATTATCCATGTAGTGAGAGATGAAACCACTATTGCAGGTAGTCATTCATTGTTGGGATGCAGTTAATCTTAGCAAATAGTATTCCTGCCTGCAGACAAGCTGTCACTGCATCCACTCTGTGAATAATGTCTTCATCTGAAACACCAGACGTGAGGCCAGCTCCTGAGATTCGATCTCAGATGGAGAGCCCTCCCATTTGCGGAAATCCTGAAAACACGTGGTCAGAAGATATTTCGCAACTCTACATCCTTTGCTTGTGCTCTCATCTTCTCCTTGAGATGGTGTGTAGACGTATGGCTTTCCACAATACTCTTCCTTTCTGATAGCATTTGACTGTAGGCCTGGCATTACTACCGTCCACAACTAACTGTACGCGCTTCATCAGGAAAGTAAGACAGGCGCTGCTGAGCAATCGACTTGGTACTGAGTCCATGAGAAATTCTAGTTCTTTTCGAGCCTCCTGAGCTGAACTCGGTAAAGGCAGTTCGTTTGGAACGAGCTCTTTCTGTTTATAGCCGCTCTTTCAAATTTAGCAATGCATCAGTGTCTACTTCAGTGTCGCTAGAGATGCTATCGCCAGAGCCTGTGGCACAACTAGAAAACCCTTCTTCGTCTGTTTGATATGCACTTCGCGTATGTCTTCTCCATAGCTCTCCATTATTCTAAAAGTAAAAGAAACCTCGTAAATAATTTCCCCGGATTTTTTGTCACTTGCACTGCCTCGGCCTCGGTTGGGCATGCTTCACAAATGGCTTGTATACATTTACCTGACCACATCGCTACAATCATAACGTTTTTTATGTAGCAATAGTTATGTAGCGTTAGTGCTAAAGGTGTTACGTGTCTACACAATCACAAAATCATGCGCCCGTACAATGCATAGTGCTCAAATGCCCGGAATGGGCGGAGCGTAGTACGCAAAAGGTACCCAAAAGGAGTAATATAGGGCTGTTTCGTTGTTACTCAGAGTTTCATGGCAAAAACCAATCATCAGACAACATCTCATGATCATGATTGTAGCCGATTGTTGCCAAAAACCTGGGATTTCCCGATATTATCCACTAAGAAAATCGTTGTGCCGCTCAAGCCTCACATAATGCTCGTTTTGTTCCTTTCTAATGCTCCATAATGCTCTGATGCTCGGATAGTCGTATAATGCTGAATATATTGCCGGCATTATCCGCTGGACCGTAGCTACGCCCCTGCGTGACTATTCCAGAAACCCCTGGGAGAGCGCTGTGAGTACCGGGGGCGTCGGAAGGTATTTTAGTGTGGTACGGTCAGCCATCTGAAGTACAATTTACTCGTGGGGGAGGGGTGGCTGAGGCGAAAATTTTGGAAATTTAGAGCCCAAACCAGTGCATTTTATTGAATCACAAGGTACTTGGGCTGATTGGGGCAAATAGTGGTACGGTCAATGCCGTAGTGACCGTACCGTGTGCAACGCCCCTGGAGTATGTGTGGTTATAAAGCCTAGTTCACATTCGACGGGGCGCGACGGGACGCGACGTAAGGATCGACGGGAAGCGACGGGACAGTCTGACGGCGTCCAATGTGAACACCAGGAACGGGAACGCAACCGTACCGCCGTACAGATCGGGAAGCGACGGGAAGAGTTGGATCGATTAAACTTTTCATACCGTAGACGGGGACGCAAGCGTACAAAACAGCTGCATTTTGAGTGTGAACAGGAGACGGCGTCGTGCGCCGACTGCTCCCGATTCGTACTTGGAAATTTTTAGCATTTCGAACACCGCGCTTCCTATAACTCGCAGAATGGCTAACACGACTTGAGTTGAATTTTAGCAAGATAAGGTCTGATGTCACATATGGTATTTAGGGATAGCTCAAGAGCGTGACAGACAAACTGTTATATCACTTCCTGGAGCTATTATTTGAATAGCACACCTTTCGAAGCTACATTTTTGGTCTTCATGAAAACCTGGTATTGTGAACTTGATTCCGTTTCATTGAAGGAGAAATAATTGAAAAGAAGTCCCGAAAAATAAGAAATTAGGTCCAAAAGTCACCCCGTCACTGACCGTGCCTTATGACTGTTGCCGTTCGCTGTTGAACGACACAACGACTGCAGCATGTCGTGTCGTACGAATCGTACACGATTTTACAGCTCACCCCAGCCTTCCCGACAGGCCCTTACGTCCCGTACCGTCAGCATTCCGTCGAATGTGAACTAGGCTTAACAGACGGCTACAGTGAAGTCTGCGCATATTGAGAAACGTTTTATAGAACGAGGTCCTGGTTACAGTCAGACCTCGCTTATCCGGTCCTCTTTTATCCGGATCCCTCACCATGCAGAAGAAAATTGATGGTTACCGATTTACGGCATATAGCAAGCATACATGAGCCAGAGCACGCTAAAATATTACCACAGACCAAAAATTCGACTTCAGTTTTTTGTTAAAAAATGATCAAACACACCTAATGTTCACTGTCTGAAAGTTTTGGATTGATCTGACATGTCTAAGTGTTGCTACAATGTTATTATATGCAGCACTGTTGAAATGGTGAACTTCTATGTACAGCAATGGGATTGTCATTTTGCACACAGTTGATATATCCCTTGGTTCATCCTTTCCTGGTCAGTTCCTCTGTCCAGGGTCTTATAGCATGAGCTGACGATGACAGGTACTCGGCCACATCCAAAATTTATATAGGCAGCTGAGCTGGGTGTCCGAAATACCTCCTGGTTGGAGCACCACTGGAGAACCGCCAGCGAAAACACGGTCAACATCTGTAGATGGCCGAAGAAGTTGGCACTCAACGTTAACTCCATCACACTCCACCTGTACTTTCAAATATACAGTATACACTGCTGCACACAGTCTTCCTCAACATACTCGACGTCGCACTCATATTCCCCCCACCAAAGTCCATCATCTGCGCACGGTTTTCTCCGCTCGCCAGAGAGTACTGCTTTTGCGATCGCTGCCCACTGCTCGTGCCAGCGATGTTCCGCATATGTGTACTCAAATTATTGACTTGAGCAAGTTGAGGGAGCAGCAGAGTCCATTGATTGTTTTTGCACTTGCAACCAATACTGGCATCGTCCTGGATGTGTGCAGCGATGTCCATTCTGGCGAAATCATCGGCCGACTCACCTCCCAATTCAGTGTCGATGCCAATCGCTTGCCAGGTTGTCATCAGAGTAGAATTCCTCGTCACTGCAGATCGTGGGACTACCAGCATCAATTCTTTTACGCTCGAGGAAAGTGTCGCCCTCAAATGACTCGTCGCTGTAGCCATCATCGTCTTCCTTCTGTTTCCGACCCGAATCCTCAAAATATTTCATCCTGCGCATGGAGTGCGAAGATGTCGTCTTCTTCCGCTCAGCAGTACATGACTACTACTAGGCTCTTCCGTCGATACATCGATGACGGTCCGTTTTAGGCGACTCAGCGCAACATGGAATACAAACTCAAACAAATAAACTTACTTGCAACAAAGAAATGCATCCGGAACAGTCCAGTCGACCGAGGAGAACAACAACGGCGACTCGCGTTGCACTGCACTTCGTATTTTTTGCCGCGGAATTCAAATCGCGATTTTCTCGACTTTTTCCAAAAAAGCTGTGGTCATGATTTAGCGCACTCCGGCTCACATTATAGTATGTGTGTTTGATTATCCGGTTCCCTCGCCTATTGGCATTCTTTTAAGCAATGTCTCACTGTATTAAGGTCTATGTGCGTGAATCCCTTCGTCCCAAGGGACTGCTAAATTATGTTCTCATCCTGCCGGGCTTCCTCTAGGTCAGGCTGGCGGGCACAAAGTTGTAAAACTCGGCGTAAGAATCGACATCATGCAATGTCCGAAACGAAAATTTACACTTTGCCAGCATTTCGTTCAGTTCTTCCGACAGTTGTTCCGACTGCGATACGATAAGCCAAACTGAGATACCAAAGTGTCCTGCATTAAAACCGGTCTCAACTAGAAGCCTGTCTTGAATACAAGCCTGATTTTCAAGATGCACTGCCGGCACATAACCCTGGTTTTAGTGTTTGACATATGCAGAAATACCTGGTTTGAAAAGAAGCTCAACTTGAATAAAAGCCTAGCATTGACATCGGCTCCTACAGGAACAAGTCCGGCTTTAATACGCGACATTACGGTGGAAGGGAACGAAACAAACTGATATCATATACTCACAGAAACAGTCATACGTTCTCGACAGTGTCTCATCTCGCAGGCAAATGCCCGACAAGCAGCCTTGCAGGCATTTGTCCAGAGCAGGATTGGCTGGGTTGACTGCATTGGCTGAACTACCTGTGATGCAGACTGTACACACACACATACACACACACATACATACACACATACACACACACACACACATCACACATCACGCATCACGCATCACACGAAGGCTGGGAGTTAGTCAATAGCTAGATGGCACATGCGACAATCAGCCGACTCTCTGCTGACCCGGCGGGAGTTTTCCAGGTGTCAGAGCACTTCCAACCGAACACCTTAGCTATTGTGTGGAAGAGCCTACACGGTGACACATCGCAGTCCATCACCCAACTATAATTTATTCCCGTAGCTATGCAGAAGACGTTACTTCAGTAACGTCTGGCGCTAGCCAGGGTCCACACAGCTTTAATTTGGTGTTTGTTTGTTTGTTTGTGTCACGCCTGGCTCCCGTATCTGTCCCGCACCGTACTGTACCATCAAACACAGCTGGCCACATACAGCTGGCCGCAATATTCAAATAGGGCTTTCAAACGCTAGATCATAACGTGAAGCAACTTGGAAGAATGGGTATGAATGCGAAGTGTATGGGGGAATGCATGTAGGGCGATAGTGCGGGTTCAAATCCCAGGATATGCCTGAAAAAATAGGAGAATTGAAAAATTTATAACATCCCTATGCTTTTTTTGTCGTCATCAAGGCGGTAGACGGTGTCGTATTACCCTCGATCGTACCTGTCCCGTACCTATCCCGTACCATACCATCAAAGACGGCTGGCCACAATGCATATTCAAATAGGGCTTTCAAATGCAAGATCATAACGTGAAGCAACTTGGAAGAATTAGTATTTATGCGAAGTGTATCGGGGGATGCATGCAGGGCGCACGATAGTGCGGGTTCGAATCCCAGGTTATGTCTCTTAAAAAAGGAATTTTTTAAAGAATTTATAACATCCCTATGCTTTTTTTGGTCTAGGTCATCACGACAAAAAAGCATAGCGTAGGGCCCTGAGCTTCCAAGCTCTCGTTACCGACTCCGCAAATGCCCAGAGAAACTCGACCCCAGCAGCAGGACGGACTCAGTCTTCCAGTCGCAAGAACCAACGCTGGCAAGTCGAGGCATGCCTGCAGCACCACAGGGTGCTGAGGTGTTCAGATTCTAGTCTGCTTTTGTTTTTCACAACTCAATGATCGCTTTCCAAGCTTCTGCCCACTGCATTCCTTGCTCAATACCTGCAACAGTAGCTGATGGCATGCTTGACACTGGATCCATACTATTGATCACCGGCTGACTGCTGTTCTGTAATAGTACGGTATTTTGTGTATGTGGTTTTGGTGCATGTGCGTGTTGCTGTGGTTTGAAAAGCAGTCTTCGTCTTGAGTTCGTCCTGTCTAGTTGTGTTTCCGTAGTCGTCTTGTAATAAATATAGTCTTTCTAAATGTAGTTATGGTCGTCCCATGGTATAAGTATGGAGATGGCACGGGGCTGGGAGCAAGTGGAGAAAGGCATCTACAGCAGTTCCTCAAGGGTCTGTTCTCGGACCTCTGCTCTTCATTTTTGTATGTGCAGGATACTGCCGGCGATGCGTGACAAGGAAAAGTGGTCGCCATGGTCGAGTGGTTGCCATACCCGAGTGGTCGCCATGGTCGAGTGGTCGCCATACCTGAGTGGTCGCCATACCCGAGTGGTCGCCATGGTCGAGTGGTCGCCATACCCGAGTGGTCGCCATGGTCGAGTGGTCGCCATTACAGGTATTACTGTGCTCTCGAAAACAAGGTAGTTTCGATCCCAGACTTGACAAGCTCACAGAGATGCTGATACTTTGAAGTACATGTACTTCAAAGAAGTAATTTCACATTTTGAAACTTTCTCTCTTCAGCCAAAGGTTGTACTTACTAGTCACGGTCGACAGCAGCACGCCAGCAATGGCGAGCATAGTTGTTGAAGTCATTTTCAGTCCTTTCATGCACAAACGCATGCACACACACACACACACACACACACACACACACACACACACACACACACACACACACACACACACACGCACGCACACAGTCATAATGTTACACACATGTGCACGCGCACATACATGTACATGTACATACATTCACACACAGAACTGAAGCACACATGCACGCAGGCATGCACACACATGCACGCAGGCATGCACACACATACATACAACTAAGTTGTATGACAGTAACTTGGAACTCTACGGAGATTGACAACGGACGAGTCTGCGAAAGGAGGACCGATATCAGATGGGCAGAAAGAACACAGATCATTTGGACGAGCGCTTTGACAGTGTCAAGGAACCTACAACATAATTCCTTCTTTTAGCTTTTTACATTGAACCGTCAACCCTACCAAGGAAGAATTTGACCGGAAGCAGGAAGGAGCATTGACATAAAACGGTAGCGGTCACCGTGAGCCATGGAGGCTGTGCGAGTGGGGTGCACCCAGCTCAGCCGACAGACCGGCTCGGCTTCATTGCCAAGCCCGCGCACCGAGGTTGAAAAAGAGAAAGGGGGAAAGGAGTGAACAGCGGAGAGAAATGAAAAGAAAAGAGGAAAGGAAACTCCGAACAATTCACCGAAACGGAGACCCAGTAGCCAATAAGAAGTGCATTCAGATACTGCACCGCCGTGTCACCGAGCACCCAGTTATGCCAGGCGCTCGAAACCAATGAAAAGAATAGGCGTACAAACTAGAAAGCGAACAGTGTCTCTCCAAACACTCATCACTCACCGTCCGGTCACAGGTAGCAGGTTGTTGGCCGGCCGAGCTCAGTAGTAGACAACCGCCCAACGATAGGCGAAAGGTGTCAAAAGCTACCCGTGCAACACTCAAGCTACTTTTGATTAGGAGAGAAAATTTCCTTCCATTCGTCCAGATAATAAATTACAACAGCCCCCAAAACTTCAGCGTGCCAGCCTTCCTATCTCGCTGTACACAATCAGCGGGCGCGAAGAAACTGCTCAGTTGCACCAACAGTGCGGTGGAATGGGGTGGGGGGGGGAGGGGGGAGGAGAGGAGATTGAGCGCGAGCAGGTGCCGCCAAAAATACACCAGGGCCAACGTACACAAAGCGGGAGGTCAGGGGAAAATATGTAAAGAATATCTCATGAGTACGAGGGTGATACCGTACAAAGCAAGTCCATCAGTCTGGGTCAGCGTATGCTAAGCGGGAAGTCAGTGCGTGCACAGCAGGGGGCAAAATAGCGTACAACTCTAAGCAAAAAGGAGCAACTGCCGACCAGCCAAAAGGATGTATCGGCTGATACGCACATGAACACAGTACTTCGTGAGTTCACGACAAAAGGAGAAAAAATAATGACAAGGAGAGGTTCTCTGCGCAGGATTTTAGGATGTTTCATGGGTTTACAAGTAGTTGGCGATGGCTGGTAGGTCTACCACAACTACTTGACACGTAGACTCTACCTAACCGTTCATGCCCTTCGACCTTTGGCAATGGTGGATGATCACCTGCTGAACTGTACTTGGATGTGCACCAGCACCGGCTACATCATACATGTGCGGCTTTTTTTTGTAGTCAACGGCAGGAGTGGCAGCGGAGGAACCTCGCACGGCGGGCGGGCATGCATTGTAGTGAATAGAGAGGTTAAGATGCACGTTATTTCCGACGTGACGCGCAATTTCACGTCAAATTTGGCGTAAAACTCCAAATTTCGACGTGAGCAGCAGGTCACTCGCGTTGATTTTTCGACGTGCGAGCAAATAACGCGAGCTGAACTTTCGCGTCACGTCAGAAATAACGTGCATCTTAACCTCTCTAATGCCCAAGGCCAACGAGCCTCTACTTGTACAGTGCTGGCAACAGAAATCCGACCCCCTTGCCGGCGCGGCGCGCCGGCAAGGGGGTCGGATTTCAGTTGCCAGCACTGAGTCTGTAGCTCTGGGACTGTGGAGTCGTCTGTTCTTCCGTTTGGTCTCACCTCGTCGGCACGTCAGTACTGCACTATCAGCATGGGACCAGTAAGTATTAGTTCAACCTTTCATGCATGTGTATTGTGTTATGGGGCAAAGCCATTCAGTCGATCCATAGTGCGAACTTCTCCTTCACGCACTTGTCTAGATTCTAGCGCCATCTGTATGCATGTCCTAGCAGCACTGTGCGTTTCGTTATCACCTTTAGAACTTTTGTCACTTCCCGCTTCAAGAAGGGTATAAGCAGCAGGAACTTTCCAAAGTTTGGCGTTTTCAAACTGTTAATGGGTTAGTGCAGGCCGCTTGCAGTATGTGCGGACACTTGAAGCGAGTCGCGCAGATGTGAATGGCCGTCCACCCGTGCGAGGGACCTGCGTTTCGCAAGACCAAGACCTACTATTTTTATTTGCGTTCAAGGTCAGTTAGGTTATCTAGACTTTGGGGCTAAAGTTAGAGAAGTACTGCTTACGTCCGGGGCTTATCTCGTTATCTAGAAGCCATGCTAAACATCAAAGGAGCTCTGAGGGTTCGAATGGTCGCCGCAACTAAGTTCGGTAAATTTTCAGTACAGCTGTGTGGTTTCGAACGCCGCTGACCATTCGGGATGCTGCCGGCTAGTGTCCTTGGTTTTCTCGCCGCCGCTTGCTGTGCTCTTGCGCAATGCCCGACCACAGAACAGGCTTTCTGGGAGCGTTGTGGCAGATTTCTAGTTTCAAAACATTACCTCGTGAACCTCGCAGTTTGTAGATTAGGAAGTAGTTAGGGGCTTTGGGTGTGAGACTTACCACCTCACCCTCGCGATTATGGCACTAGGCGCTGCATCGGATCTTCCCAAGTTGTACATTGTACTGTTGAGATACCAAATTCAAATAAATCAATACCAATATCAATACCAATCCGCCACCTGGGTACATGCATCTCACTTCCCAGACATGGTGGTGGCCGGACACAAGCGAAACGTCTTCTCAACCCCAATTCAAGGCACGTTTTTTCTCACGTTCGAAATTGATAAAAACGTAAAGCGTAATTCCGTAAACTATCTGTTTCCTCAATCCCTACCGCTGCCCTCCGAGTCCGACGTATAATAAAATATACGTCATCAGCAGTAGAAGGGCTAACTTTTTTTTAGCAATCCTGCTTGCGTGCTATTACTATTAGTGTAGTAATCACCCAGGCAGTTGCTGCCAGAGTATGTGGTGTTGTGGTGTGATGTGTGTGCGGGAAAAAATGGAAAAAGACCAAACTTTAGGGCTTCGCTGGCCAGAAAAACCCACTTGCAAGCTGTTGAATGGTGCAATTCCAGCACAAGTTGCTATGGCTTCTGCTGTAGCATCGCTATCGTCGTCGCCAGCGATGTGCGTCAAAAGGTCAACAGTGTAGTCCTTGGAGATCCCTGTTACGTTCTACATCACCTCTCAGCAAAGACCACATGGTTTCCAGTTACGCGACCGAACACTTTGCTTACAGGTCGAAGAAACACTCGACAACATGTTTCTCAGCATCCCTAGCCTTGACATCTGGTGTATGGTCCGTGCTAGTTGCAGCTCGGTCCCATTCTTGTTTCCTGAAGCCGGATTGACTGGGAGGTAAGTATGGTGCTACGTGATTGTATAAACGAGAGTGGACTATTTTTTCTTGTGTCTTGAAAGTTATGCTGCGCCGGGAGCTACCAGATGGGTCGGTAGTTGGGAGGATGGGAGGGTTGCCTCGGCTTGCCTGACTTGAGGATGGGTGTAATAGTTGCGTCTTTCCAATTCTGAGGTGTTTCTCCGGTTCTCAAGGACGGATTGTGGAGACTAGTGAGAGATGGGGAGACTTCTTTTACCGTTTCTTTCAGGAGCCGAGTCGGGATGTTGTCAAAACCGGGCTCTTTCTAGTGTCCAGACTAAATTTTAGACGTTTCTCGACCTCTTCCACTGTTGCTGCAATAATTGTACTCAGGATATAGGTTATATCAGGGGCGGTGTTGATATCTGGTGTGTAACACAGGCAGTCTTGTTGAAGGACTGTTTGCTTTGACTTTGAGAGATAAAGAACTCACTGGGAGCTGTTACCTTCTCCCTGGCCCACGGCTGCGGCTGCAGTGGAGTTGGCTCTTTTAGTGTGGGACCTTGACCTTTGACGCCCCATCTCCAGTGGAGATGATAGGCTACTGAGTTGGGCAGTACTGGAGGTGAATGGGAATGTCAGTGTGGGAAGGTTTGCTTAGGGGCTTTCTTGAGGTGTTTCACTAGGCGGTGGAGGTTTGTCCCCGTCATTTGTTGTTGGTTTTGAATTCTGTATTCACTGTTGAATTCTTTATTCTCACGACGTTGTTGTTGTTGTTGTTGTTGTTGTTGTTGTTGTTGTTGTTGTTGTTGTTGTTGTTGTTGTTGTTGTTGTTGTTGTTGTTGTTGTTGTTGTTGTTGTTGTTGTTGTTGTTGTTGTTGTTGTTGTTGTTGTTGTTGTTGTTGTTGTTGTTGTTGTTGTTGCTGTTGTTGCTGTTGTTGCTGTTGTTGCTGTTGTTGCTGTTGTTGCTGTTGTTGTTGTTGTTGTTGTTGTTGTTGTTGTTGTTGTTGTTGTTGTTGTTGTTGTTGTTGTTGTTGTTGTTGTTGTTGTTGTTGTTGTTGTTGTTGTTGTTGTTGTTGTTGTTGTTGTTGTTGTTGTTGTTGTTTGAATTCATCATTCGCACGTTTCAAATCTTTATTCTCACGTTGTTGTTGTTTTTGGTGTTGTTGTTGTTGTTGTTGTTGTTGTTGTTGTTGTTGTTGTTGTTGTTGTTGTTGTTGTTGTTGTTGTTGTTGTTGCTAATTTTAACAGTACAGTGACTATATCCATATTTTGAAGTGAGAGAGAGACACAGAGTTGTTTTACCTGCAGTTCAAAACACATTTTTCTCTCCTTCTTCAGTGGAAATTTGCTACAGAGATCGATTTTTGGTCCGTTCCTAACTTGGCAACGACGTTCAAGAAGTCCGCTTTTTCTCGAAATTCGAGTCAAACACGGGCGATGCGAGTCAGTTCAAAGATATGATTCAGACGGTGTCTTCTCCCAAACGGGTGACTCAAATCAAGATCCCCATCGCCTTCCGTTCTCTCTCATGCGCGCAGCAGAGATGTTCGTCAACAACGCTGTCGACTGGAAGACGTAAAAAAGTTTACTAAAAATGTACGTCCGCGCTCCACTTGTGCTGCTTTAGAACGAAAATGATGCTCCCGGCCGGGACTGATATAGGATGTGGGCCTACGAGCTTCACTTTTCTTCTGCATGTTCCCATCAACTGAAGCAAAAGTCCATAAGCTATGGACTTTTGCCGAAGAGTTATTAACTCTTCGGATTGAAACTACATGTATGATCATTGCAGAACATGGACAAGGCATTAGCTCTCATGTTATTGGGTTCTTGACCGATTGAAGTGGTGTTGTGAATTCAAATAAATACTAAAGTAGCTTCCCCTCCTTATGGTGAAAAAAGGAGGGCAAACTGTTACGAGTTATGGCTAACTGTCCACCAACGTAACCAGATCTTATATAGTCAGCGAGTGCGACAAAATGGCACAAAACTGGCAAGGAGTACTGAGACATTCGGCGACCTCACACCTAGCTCCAACACTTCTCCAAGGCGCAAACCAACAACTTTTTTTCTTTTTTCTTTTTAAATTTCGGCCAGTCGGCTACTATCATTTCGTCGTGGCGGTTAGACAAGGGGAAGTAGCCATGTAGGGGCGTTAGCCCGCCTTTCGGCACCGGGAGTTGCAGCTCGCTCGACTTGACTCTACTGAGTGCAGAGGACCCACACCTTGATCTGGTGAGCTGCGTCGTGTGGATTTTGCAGTCAGACAACAGCCTTCCAACTTGGAAGGCTCAGGTTCGGAAAAGTCCAAGAGGGGAAGGAAAGCGCAACGAAGAAGAGCACGAGCTACGCATCACGGCAACAAAGAAAGCCGAAAGTTACTGGATGATGAAGAGTTGGAGCTACAGTAATGTAGGTGTCAGGTCGCCGAA